CTGAACATCCATAACTGTGTTGAAAATGTTTTCAAAAAAGTTTTTTTCAATGTGCATGACATCGAGATTATGACGAACCAAATTTGTTCTCCAGTATGGTAAGTCCCAAAAAATACTCTTTTTCCTCCATCCACAACCTTTGGACTTACAAATAGCAGCATTCAACTCCTCAGCACCAATGTCCATGATCCTTTTCAATCCTAATCCTTCGATTTCCTGCAAAACTTCATCACCACTTTTAACCACGGGTGGTGGGGATATTTCGACACGATTCTTTTTAAATTTTTTCTTATCTTTCCTATATGGGTGATCATCAGGAAGAAATCTTCGGTGCGTGTCAAACCAGGATTGTTTTCCACCATGTTGTAATCTAAAAGACTCTAATTGATGCATACACACTGGGCATGCAGTTTTACCCGATGTACTCCAACCAGACATCATAGCATATGCGGGGAGATCACCTATTGTCCACAACAAAGCAGCGTGCATTCGAAATTTTGTTTCAATGACACATCATAAGTCTCAACACCATCTACCCATAAACTTTTCAATTCTGCAATTAAGGGCTGCAAAAAGACATCAATCTTTTGTTTTGGATTAGATCTTCCTGGGACAATCATCGATAAAAATATATGTTCGTCTTTCATACACATATTAGGTGGAAGATTATATGCGGTCAACATTACAGGCCAAGAGGAGTATGAAGCACCAAACTGTCCAAATGGTTGAAAACCATCAGTGCACAACCCAAGGCGTACATTACGCACCTCTAAAGCAAATTCAGGATTTCTTTCATCAAATGTCTTCCATGCCTCTGAATCGCAAGGATGACACATTTCACCAACATTCTCGTGGAAATGGTTAGCGTGCCACCTCATATCCTTTGCTGTGCGTTTGGACATGTATAGTCTCTTCAACCTAGGTGTCAATGGAAAGTAAAACATCTGTCGGTGCGGGATCATAGATTTCTCATCCTTATACCTTGGCTTATCGCAAACTTTGCACGTGGTACGACCTTCATCCTCTCCCCAATATAACATACAACCCATAATGCAACAATGTATCTTTTGCACTGGGAGACCCAATCCTTCAATTAGTTTTTTGGTCTCGTAGAAGTTTTTAACCATTGAATTGTCTTCGGGGAGAGCATCGTTGAGAAGTTGGCAAACTGTATCAAAGCTCTTTTCAGACCAATTATGATCAGCTTTGATGTTTAGTAATCTTGCCACTGTAGACAATTGAGACATCTTCGTACAACCATCCCATAAATCTTTGTCTGCTGCTTCTAACATTTTAAAAAACTT